CGTCGTCCTCCTCCTCTCCCCCGCTCGCAGGGCAGCCGGGGCAGGGAGCGGGGGCTGGAGGTGCCCCGGGTGCCCCCCGGGATGTGGGGGCGAGGCCTGAGCCCGTTCTCCACCACGGGTGTGCCCGGGCATGGTGCCCTGTGTCCAAGGATGGTACCCTGTATCCGAGGATGGAGCCCTGGGGCCGGGGATGGAGTGTCCTGTATCCAGAGATTGTGTCTATATCCGGGGATGGTGCCCTGGGGCCGGGTGTGGTGCTCTGCGCCCGGCAGCTCCCGCAGCTCTGCAGAGTTGAGAGCCTGTCCCGGGCACGAAGGGGTTCGGGGGTTCTGTGGGGGACCCACGGAAGGTGGGTACACGCCGGCGCCCAGCGCTGCCCCGGTGACCCCGCCTGGGTGATCCCGAACCGCTGGAGTACGACGATGCTGCTCCGGGCAGGGGAAATCTCGCTCAGCAGAGATGTCGAACAGGTCTGTGGCATCAATGTGAATGTCTGCTGTGGTGCACAGGTTTGGTGTCTGCTCCACAGCCTTCTCTGCGTGCTGCACTCCCGAGGCAGCTGCCCAGATCGCTCTGGGAGAACATGTGCTCCAAGTACGTTCTCTCTGCACTGTCTGAATCACCAGAAAGGCCTCCTGTTTGCAGTACAAGTGAATGTTTTGTCCAGTAAATGCGTCCTTTGGCTGTTGCACACCGTTTGTGTGTCTGCTTGCAATGTCGTATATATTGATTTCTTATCCTCTCTGTTTCCAAGCAAAAACATTTAAAGAGAATTATCATGGATATAGTGCTGCCTGCAAAGAGATAGACAATATGGGAGTGTTATAGCCCACCTGATAAAATCAGATAAACTCTTTTGTAAGTTCATTCTTGAGTGACTTTTTTCCTCACAATGAGATGATCTCTATCTAGGAAATCCAAAGTCCACTGGAGATAACAGATGTCAGCTCTGTAAATGTCATTGTAAAATGATGCTTCGGTATTGTAGGCCTCTGACTTACTTCACTTTTTGTTGTGTGAATGGCTAATGCTTTTCAATTTCCTGGTGTGCTGTTTCAAGCTTGCATATTTCTACCATGTAGCATCTATTATGCTTTTATAATTTTTCAAGCAGTTTCAAGCATTTGTCTTTACATTTTTTGATATTTTGTTACTAACTATGCTCTTAAAGATTGGCAAGAGCTTGACAGATAACACATAGAGAAAATATGTAGATGTAGCTCTCAAAATACTAGGATTAGGAGTAGACAGCTACATTTAAATTGGTCTTTTAAACTGTCTTCAAGATTTATAGCATGCAACACCAGCACCGTTAAATTCTTTGTGGTTTAAGATTTCAGTTTTGAGAATCTGAGGCTACAATGTTCCTGTGTTAGAATTGCATTCCAGTTTTATAGTGGCATCTTGTTAAGCCAATCTCAGCCAGCCAGCCACAATATCATTAATAGCTGGCAATAGCTTAGTTTTGATGGCTAGACAGTTGGCTGTGGAAAGACAGCTTGCATAATCATATTTAATTTGCTGTTTTGTGCAAATAGCAACATAATATTAGATTTTTTGGGGCCCCAGTGGCAGGGAACTGCCCTCTCCAAATATGGAGATGCTACAAGAGGATTTACTGGCAGCCACTGGGAGAAGGATAAGATGGGTGAGAAATGGGGCACTGAAACTGAAGGCGCAGTATTGTGTGGATTAACTGGAAGAGCAGCCTTGAGATCAAAATAGGATTTTATTGGCCAGGAAAGAGAATGCTTGGGTGGTGAGTAATCTGATGTCCTTGTTGAGGGAATAGGCTCTGGACAATAATAGCATCTTCAAGCTCCACCTTCTTGTAGCCCAAACTCTACCAAAACCCTTGGAAGCTTGTTTTTTCAGCTGCTCCTCTGTGACTTACAGCTTATTTAGGACTTCAGAGGGGCTGCTGGCTAGGGACAGGCATGGCAGCAGAAACTGGGCTTCCCTAGGACGGTTCCCACTGATATAGCCAAGGTCATGCCGAAAGTCTACAGCAAAGCCAGGGATTAAATCCAGAAGCCCATTACCCTAATTTGAACTTCATCTTTCTGCCTCTCTATAGTGTTGACAAAGATTTTTCTGTTTACTGGACCCAAACAGAATTTTCATTATGAAAATGAAATGTAATGTAAAAACACAGGCTCACAAAACAGATTTCATACACAAAATGTAATTATTTGGGGTGAAACTGTTCAGCTTGTTCTGGTAATACTTAGAGGTAGAACACAGCAGGGACCACTTACCTAGTGAATACCGTGTTTGAACAATACTTCAAGAAAGAAAAATGCACCAATATCAAAGAGGTCCAACAGAAAACTTTTTTCTTGTTCCTAAGAAAATCAGCTTTGTTCAGTGTAGCAGCAGCTCTCCATCTGCTCAAACTGCGGAAATACCCAAACAAGTCTGTGTGTTGGATGTGTGAGAGGCCAGAGCTTATGGCTACAAGCAGAAGGCTCCAGCAGTAGTTGTTGACCGTATGGTGGCTTACCTGGCAAGGAAAATCCACAAGTGGCTCATAGGGCCAGGACTGGTAAAGCGGTCTGGAAGCCATTTGGAAGACTCTGTACACTGCAGGAATAGACAATGCAGCTCCAAACGTGAAATGGAGGTGGTGCTTGGAAATAGTTGCAGTTATTGGTAAATTGGGAGTGACCCAGGAAGAAACTGTTCCAATAATGGTAGAAAATGAAATGTACCAGTGGGCTTACTGGCAGTAATGTAATAAGCCTAATGGAAAGTGACTCTGCTTTAATGTGATTTCCACTGACGGATAGCTGAATAATGATATCCCTTATATCTTTAATTATTCTTAACACCTGTGCCCAATCAATGGTAACAGCTTTTGGGAGCTTTTGGACTATGAGAAACTTTATGCCTAAAAGCCAGAGACTCAGATATATGAATGTGTGTCTATGTTTGCAGATATGGGAGTACTGTAATTATAGAAAACCTTTTTTGTTGTGACACATAATTTAAAATCAGGTGTGCTACTGAAGAAATGAAGCCAAAAGTTTCATCTCCCATGTAACTTTGTAGTGTAGAGTGAGCAGGCTGGGACACATATTAGCAGGATAAAACGTGATCCCATTTGAATGCCATTGATACAGATGCACTCTTTATAGGGAGCACTGTGCGTCTGTCACAACTTGCATTGAACCCTCTCATCCTGTGGATTTCCTGTACCCTACCTGAAAATTGAAATTCTCATCTTTGAACTTAAGCTACAGAATTAATGGAGAAGCAAATTTTTTTCATGGTATTCCCTCAGTCACCATGCTAAGAACCAGGTTAGCTCTTTGCTAACATCAATGATATCAGTGGAATTAAATCAGTCCCTGAAGTGTAGTGTTTAGTTCAGGTTCACCCAGTGTTTTATTGTGTCTTTCAGTGTCACCCTGACTGGGCATGATCTGTCCATGTCCTTACTCAGAAGTGGTGCACAGCCGCTCCCTTAATATCACCTTGTGTGTGTTCTACATGAATGTGTACTTTGCATTCTTGGGTCAAAACCCACAAGTTCCTGCATTTTGCAGAACTGGTAATTTGAGAAAGCGAGCTGTTTACATTAATAATGAAGCTCTCTCTCCCATGGTGATTATTTTGCCAAATAATTTTTTTGGAGTTATATGTGAAAAGGTGCCAATTGTTGAGCAAATACCAGCTTCAAGTCCAGGCAGTTCATGAGAACTTGCATTTGGTGCCAGACAATGGGTCAAAAGAGCAAGTGCTGTTGACCTTACTGTATGGCCATACCTGTCTGGGTGTGTCTTTTTATAGATTCTCAATTTACCTTGTAGCACTGGATTTTTGTAACTACGCTTTGGCTGTTAAGGAATATGATGGCTTTAGACCTTTGCCTTAATGAAGTGCCAGTAGTGAGTTTGTGGGTCATTCCAAGAACAGCTTTCATGTGTGTATATTTACTGAGTTCTCCTCTTTGGAATTCTTTCACACTCACCTCTGGTGTTAGGTGAATCGAACCAGGGAAAGTCAGTCTGAGTTGTCTACTTCATCATTTGTTTGAGAGGTTCTGTGTGTACAGGTCATGCCTCTGGCTGTGTTCTCCATTCTCCTTCTGCTCTGAGTGCCTCTCCCACTGTGTGCACACCTCTTTTATCCTCCTATTTCTAGCACTCCTGAATCCAACACTTCCTCTTGCTGGATCACCAGGTTGTGCGAGTCCCTTCCCTGGCTCATGGAGGAGCTCTGTCCTTGCTCTTTCTTACAGTCTCTGCATTCTTCCATGGCTCATTTCTCTCATCCCATGATCCCTGGGGGGAGGGACTCTGTGTGCTTTGGGGTTTTCTTCTGTTATGATGAAAGAGTTGTTTGATTTATTGACCAGTCTGTAATGGTCAATGCATTGAACAACTGTCAAACAACTATGACAGGGACAACTGTTAAACTGTGGGATACAGAGGGTACAATATAAACAGTAGTTTTCCTGTTTGTCTGATTCCCCAGTAAAAGTAATAGACTTCAGCTCATCAAAAAGATTCTTTGATTAGACTCGGCACTGAAAAGTTGCTACACTTAAGACAAAGAGAGGCTCGAGCCATTGGAGGTGTAGACATACATGCTTTTTGTTTGGCTATGAAGTTGGTTTAAGGATTTCTTATCTTTGGCATCTTGTTTCTTCCCCTTCCAATGAACCTTAGCTGTTTGTGGGACCATGTTCTAAAACAGATTGGCAAAACCTTGAGTAAAGAAATACATTACAAAGAAAATGTATCGAGTAAGCATATCAAAATCTTGCTTTGTTTATCTTGTTCAATCCCATTTTTCATGTATTCCACAGACTGTAAAAATCTCCTTGCAATGAGGTTATATTTACAGGTGAGATTGGTATTACTGTACTTCACAGTAACAGTCTTATTATTCAATATACAGAGTATTATTGCTTGACTAAGTTCACATGGCTGCAGATACCCAGATGTGCACAGGTCGAACACTGCTGACAGTCAGTCCTGATTTGCACAGTCTGAGAGGAAAAATCAGGCTGAAAGGTTGCCCAAGGATGTTCCTGAGCTGTGGAAGATTTGTTTGGGAGCTGTCAGAGGGACGTGTGGCAGCTGCAGTGAATTGCAGAGGTTTCCCTCCTAGTGGAAGGTCTGAGTGGCCTTTGTAGCAAAGGCTCCTCAGGGGACACAAGCATCCATATGTGTTAAATTGGTTGACTTGCCTTAATTTCCAGTGTTCTCATATGGAACTCCTCCCAGCAGTTTTGTTGGCATTATTTTATAACAACAGCTTTGCAGTGGCAAAAGAGCCAGATTCTGCCATGCTGGATTTATAGTGCTATAACCTCTGCAGAATTTTGTTGCCTTGGGCTTTAACCACTTTCATTTAAAGAATTAATGCAAATGTAACTGGCCCAGAAGCACGCCTCAAGAAATCATGAGGTTGGCTTAAAAATCAAATTTTTACACGAAATACATTTGGGATTCTTTTCCTTTCACCTCTGTTTTTTGAAGCAATATTATGCTCTGTAACA